ATATTCTTTGAAGGATGCTGGAAGCTGTCCCACTTGACTGCAGCTTTTTGTCACCTCCTCCTTCTCCTGCTGCTGCCTGGTCTCGTTCACTTTACAGGCAAGGCGCAGTTCATCCCGAACCTATTGTCATCACATGCGTAGAACTTGGATCAGGTGTTGGATCAGAAGGACTGTGTACCTCTGCATTCCATTCACCTTCAGCTCTACTGAGTGCTGCCAATATTTTAAACCACTGGATTATTCCACTATTCACTTGGAAGATATGGCTTTCCACATAATTTCCACTGCTGGTTTAACAATTCAGTAGATCAGTAGACTCTCTAGGACCTACGGTGAAAGTGAAATGATTTCTGGATGTTTTGACTGCAATATTTCTGAAAATATAGAGTAAACTCTTATAAACCACTCCCCGTTTTGCCCATCAAACTTCATACAATGAAATGAATGTGATTCTAGAACACTTCTAGAACAATTTTGATTTATGACCAAATATGTAAAATTAAGCTCAAAGACACAGGCTTTAACAATGTATCATTTCAAAACTGTATGGAATATCAACAATCTTGATTTGTTGGGGACTGTAGCTATTACAGTTTCTGAGATCCAAATAATTTTAGGGCAGAAGAAAAAAGAAATCCTAACAAATACAATAGTTTTGGATGCTAATAATAAATGTAATGCATTCATAAAGTCTTATACAGAATGGCTGCAATATTTTTCTAAACCGAATGGAGCATTTTGCCATATCTGGTAATTACACTACGAAAGGTGAAATATAACTGCAGTTCAGTAAGATTTCAGACCAGCATGAGTTTCCTATAGGCTACATGATTTAAAATATCACTTTGTTTGCATTAGTTTCATATGTTTTAAAGGAAGCAGGAGCTGATTGGCTGCATTTTTTAACTTCAGACTCATTCAAAGATTTGTGGGCCTCAGTCCCAGGTTTACAGAGCAGAGTGTGTGCACCGGAGGGGTGAGGACTGGGAGAGTGGGCCCTCTGCTGGACAAACCATCGTTTCAGCTCACAATCTTTCTTCCCTTCTTTTGCCACATGACCAGTGTGTGTGTGTGTGTGTGGTATTTCCCCTTCTCCATTACCACCTTTTTTCCTTCTCCAACTTCTTTCACTTCCTACATATTAGGGGGCTTATCGTTTAGCTAATTGTGCCCCCTGGAGGAATCACAGGTACATCCTCACTCACTCTGGGTCATTTTGAAGACAAACATTCATGATGCACAGGAGGTTTAATGATAACCTCATTATTTACATCTTGCACATATCTCAAATGTGTTGCTTAATAATAACAGCTATAGCTGTCACTGATGCTGTTAGTCCCCACAGGCATTCATTATCAATTCATCTGCTCATTATTTCCTCAATGAGCTATAAATTGTCAGAAAATAGGAAAATCACCATTTCCTCAAGCTCAAGGTTCAGAAACAGAACATGTTCTATTTATGTAAGAGGTTGTAAAGGCAACGGCTCCGTGTGCTCATGTGCCTCTCAAATATTTGCTTTGCCTTTGCTTCTCTGCTGTTTCAAATCCATATTAACACAGAAAATGAGTGAATGCATAGCATTTTAACACTGCTCTTCTATGATAATGAAGTTTGTGACCAGACCACTTCATCTGTAATGGACACCTCATAACAAGACACAAGTGGACATGAGGGAGGAAACAAGCAGGAGGTCCAGTATTTTAAGAATTCAATTTTTTCCAGATTTTAATGTGGAAAGTATACTTTTTTGTTTTTGTTTTTTGGGGGGGGGGGGCAGATATATAGAGAAGTGGTTCCCAACCTTTTTCCTTAAGGGGGAGTCTTTTTCTATCATTTAATAAACTGACCCCTGACTCATTTTATGGGTATTTCATATTACATTCCAAACTATACAATTAACCCAAACAGTGAACTCAGTAACTGCAAGAGGTTTGTGTAAAACAAGTGATTTGGATGAATTTTTAACAGACTATTATTGAACAGATGATTCCCTGTTTAGCAAACTTTTGTTTCAATTCTCTGTCTATTATTTATTTATATCATTTTTAACAATCATACAGACTTAATTGGCTTTTTACACAATTTCTGGGTTTTCTTTTCCCTGATGCTTGGCCATTGTTAGATTACACAATTTTCTTCACAGAAGTGAACCAAATGCTGAGATATAGTCCTACTGTGTATGTTTTTAAAGTTTTCATACACGCCTTTAAATCAAGAAGGCCTCACAACCCCCACATGGAGCTTAGGCGACCCCTAGTGGGGGTCCCGACCCTCAGGTTGGGAACCACTGGTATAGAGCACAGTACAGGATAGAGAGCAACTACCAGCAGTCACCAAATATCCCATAAATATCCATGGTCCAATAAAGTGTCGTCTGAAGAAATGAGCCAAACACAATTTTAATCATTGCACACATGTATTTATGAAAAAGCATTAAAGAGCAAACAAAGGGTGGTTATTTGTTTAACATATAGTTTGATATAGATACAATAATGACTTGGCAAGATATAAGTGGATTACACAAACTGAGTAGTTGATTTTTTTCCTTTTTTTTTTCTCTTTCAAAATAACCAAAATATGGCAACTGTCAAGGCACATGTTAGCTTCAGAACATCAACACCGCTGTGAATGAAACATTTGGCTCCAGGTTTTTTTTCCATAGTGGCTACAGTCATGACGTGTCTGTATCAAAGCCCGACATCAAAGAAGGTTTATAGGCTGTCCTTCGCCTCCACAGCCTGCTTCACACTGCGTCCCTCTACAGGAGGAAGAGCGAGGCTGCTCCTCCCATACAACAGAACAATGAGCAACCAGGACAGGAAAGGAGGCCGCATTAATCTGTGCCCTGACACAGTTTAACATTTCACTTAAAATGCTAATTTTTGTTTCCATTTTTGTACTGAAAGGTATTTCCAAAAACATAACACATTAGCTTCTGAAGAAAAGGTAAAATACTGAGTGATTTCCCACAGTGTAGCAGGAATACGATAAAGCTGCCATGTTAATGCTGTTGCTGCTCATGTCAATCCAAACCATAAATGCTGTTTTTAAAGTGTGGATATTACACAATCAGATAAAAAAAGGAGCCAAAACGGACTAAAGAGCACAAACAGGAAGCAGACACAGCAGAGGAAATATGATCTGAATGCACAGTTACACCAGTTCAAATCTCCACATTCTGGATTGTTAATCCTCTGCGTGGTACAGTTCCATTCTGTTCAATGAGAGAAACCTCGCCATCTCTTTAGAGATAGGTCACTGCTGAAGTTAAGTGTTTTCCCTTGTTTCCGTTGTTGTTGTGTAAAGGAAAAAAGGCTTTAAAGAAATACCTCAGAGCCTTGAAATGCACTTAAGGATAAAGCCTTATAATGGATACTGTATTTCCTATGGACATGGCTTCCCTTAAAGTAGTGCAGCTCCAAAGGATTGCCTTAGAAAAACTACTGAGCAAAATATTCTTTCAGATGCTTTATACAAGGCAGATATATTTATATGGAGACACTTTTCAGCTGCCTATTCAGCATGAAGGCACAATAACATATATATATATATATATATATATATATATATATATATCAGGGCGTTGCTGTGCAGGATCACAGAATATGAGAGAATTTATTTGGGTGGGGTTCTGCTTGCAGACTTTTTTTACCTGGCATCTGTGATTGAAGGCCTATGGAATGGTAAAATATGCAGCAGAGCCGTAGGTATGCGAGGCTTTTTATTTTTTTTTTCCGCTGCATCCCCAGATTTTTTTAGGGACTGGGCCATTCCTTTTGAAGTTGTGCCATCAACAGCCAGTTGCCAACATGCAGTACTGCAGACCTTTCAAAGGCTTGAAGAAGACCATGTGTTTAATAGTGGGATGTCCAGGGGTCAGTTGATTGCATCATTGTATTCATCCAGCATTTCTGGGTGGTCACAGGCGATATCAATCACATCACATGGCAAAAGCCACTGCAGGATGGTAACCAAAACCGATGTTTCCTGATTGTGAATTTCTTCTGCTTATTTCTGGACACAGCTGGTCTCCACTATTTGTGGGGAATTCGAGATCTCTCTGCAAGTGGAACAGCATGTCCCATGAAAAGCCACATTCATACAGCACACAGGATAAACAACGTGTCACATGCAGCTGTATTCTGTACATATGAGATTTTTTTAGCGAGCCGAAGCAGACCTTCTGCTGAAACAAATACTATGAGTACGACAACACACACATCAACCACATTTAAGGATTTCACTTAAAAATATACTTGTAATTAATATTGATTTGAAGGCACAGCTGTGTTTCCAGGTAGCTATTCACTTTCAGGATTCATTTGCAGTTTTTCTTTCAGAAAAAACCTCTCCACTTTGTCAGCATTAAAGTTTAGAGGGATATATATATATATATATAAAAACCTCATTTTTCCATTGTTTATATGTGTATAAGTATGTATACTTGGGAAATAAATGAATGTCCCTGGCTGAAAACAAGGAAGTGATTCCCGTCTGGATTCCCTTATAAAAACATATTTCTTTGGCTATTTGGATTTACTTGACCGATCCTCCTAGCTGGCTCAAGCTCCATTCTGGTAAACGCACTTGTGGCTTTATACTTCATTATTATTAATGTTATTATTATTATTAATATTATTATTATTATTATAGTGTATCTTCTCTCAAAACTGACAAGCAACAGTTTTTAAACATTACAGACTGGACGAAGTGTATATATGATACAGGGAGATATAAAACGTGAGTGTATGTATGAGAGTGTGTGATAGGCACTGATACAGGCAAACTATACATGTGTTTTGCCCTTCTGGATTTGTTGCAACAGAAACAACAACATGGCTCGGCTTTACTCTGACAAGTAAATGGTAAATAGACATATTGAAAAGATAGTGATAAATAAGCTGTAAAATTAAATGCGAGGAGAAATAAAAAGAGAATGCAAATTGATAGAGGCATCTTGATATCAATATGTTTGGTTTTCAGTTCCTCTTTTGTTGTTTTTTAAACATTTCTGTGTGCTTTTAATTTTCTTGTCTTTATTACACTGAATTAGTGCTAAAACAATTAGTCAAGTAACCGATTGTTTTGATAATCCAAAAAGATTTTGTGATTCTAGCTTCTCAAAGAATGTGCCACTTTTTGTGTTTCATATCACAGTAAATAGTACATCTTTTGGGTTTTGAAAGGTCTGACAAAACAAGCTACTTGAATATGTCACTTTAGGCCCTTGGAAACAGCAAATGGCATTTGTTACTTTATATCAACAATTAACTGATTGATTTGGGGGAAACAAAAGAAAATGGTTAAGATTGAAAATACATTGAATTATGGCCTGAAAATAATGATTTCTCATTCATTTTCTCCTTTCATTTTTCATTTCCTGTTATAACTTTCTTGCTGGTATCCAGCCCACAGTGGGACATGTTTACTTGTGTCTGTCTGTGGCAGTCCAGGTAGTGCTGAATGCTGAATGTGTGCTCTGACGAGGACATGCAGGGCGGGGCAGTCAGAGGGCTGATTTTGGCGTTCTCCTGGTTGATGGCTGATGTGCCCACCACAGGCTCGCTGTGGCTCCACTGGAAGTAGCAGGAACCTTGAGGGGGACTCTGATCCAGAGACATCTCAGCCCCCCTCATGCCCGAAGACCCTGAGAGAGCCAGGACGTCACCTCCTGCCGGGTTGGAAGAAAAGTGCTGGTTGAACATGCAGCTGCTGTGAGTAACTTCCTGGCCGCATGCCAACCCTCCCTGCTGAGAGTGGTTCAGTCCGGTGACACTCCTTGGCCAAAGGCCAGCACGTGGGAATGTTTGGCTTTCTGAAGTCTGGCTGTGGCATGCTGGCATCAGCTCATGTCCGTTCTGCACGATGCCAGCGTGCGGCAGCTTCTGCGGCTGGCTCTGTGGCCACTGCTGGACCTGGTGGTTATGTGCTTCCAAAGAGGGGCTTTCTTGCAGACATGCTGTGGCAAAAGGGATGGGAATATTAGAGGAATTAAAGTCATTGCAAGGAATCAGGGGTGGCAACAGGTCTACTATGCTGGGTGCTACATTGTTTGGTTGTTTAACAGAGCTCTGCAGCTGTCCATTTGCTGCCATTGCAGGAGCTTGCAAAGTGTTCTGTGGACACATCAGCCGTTGGCCCGACTGTGTCTGTCCAGAAATCCCCTGAGGGCAGCCCATGTGGCTGATAGACGGCTGCCCGCAGCATTGAAAAGGGGCCGAGGCATGAGCTGAGGCGTCAGGGAGGGTGAGCTCTGGGAGCTCTATCGATGGGCTGAAAATGTCCTGCAGCTGCAGATGCTGGAGAGGGGGCAGGTTGGTGTCAGTGTGGGACAGTTTCTGGCTGCTGCTGAATATCTGAGCAGAGTCTATTAAGCTTTGCCCTGTAATCATCGGCCCATTCATTGTATCCTGCTGGTGAGCGTACATACCATTCATTGGCGGGTAAGGAGGATCAGGGCTCGGTGTCTGAAACAACTGTGGGTCAGTGGCTGAGAGCCGGGCAGCCTGAGTGAAGGGGCCCTGCTGGTCATTGTTGGCTGCTGTAAGACAGCTGGGGGGGCTGCTGCTCATACAATCTAATCCCTTGTCCTTGAACAAAACATTATCAATGTAGTCAAATATGTCATTAGAGAGGATGCTGTCCAGCTCAGAACTGACATTGTTCTGCTGACCCTCCTCCTGACTCAATCTCTTCAGGGTATTTTCCCACTCCATCAGCTCTGTATTACCAACGTCCAGATTCTGCAGCACCGTACAGAAGTCGCCATTTTGAACCATTTTCTCCAGGTTGTCGATCACAGTCATCACTGACTGTTTGGCCTCCTCTTTCACTATAGCAGGGGCACTTGTTGTGGCTGTCGTAGGCCCGTTTTCCTGCCAGGTGTCACTGGGAACGCTGACCAGGGCCCGGCTGTCCATGAACACCTGATCCACAGGCAAAGGAGGGTCCACTGGCTGGGTGTAGACTGTTTCGTCCTGTCTCATGAAGCAGTCCACCAAAGAGCCAGGCGTCACATCCTGGTGTTCGTCACTGTTACTAAACATTTTGTTGAACTGAAACTCTGCGATGTCCACCGTGGGGCCGGTGTTGTACAGGACGGCCTCTCCTGTGGTCAAACTGAAGGGAAGCTGCAGCCTCCTCTGACGCAGGTATTCCTCCCCCTCGGCGTTTCTGAAACAGACCAGACAGCAGTTTTATTAGAATAAGCAAGAGAAGTTGTCGAGGAGGTGTCATAGTTTTTGTGCAACAGAAGTTATTGAAGGATCAAACACTCACACTAAAGCTCTCTGATATGCGATGATGAATTCAGGTCTTCCATCTTTGTAGAATAGCTTGGCGTTGGCCTTCACCCACACCCAGCCACCCGACTTACTCAGGAGCCTGAAAACAGTCAGACCGCTCTCTCCCGTTTTAATCACTGTGATAAAAAGACACAAACAACACACAACATCAGGAGATGCTTTAACTATTACCAAAAGGTAACCTCTTCACTTTACATATACTGTCACATACTGTTCTTAGAGCTTTACTAGAAGTGGAACTGAAAATATTATGTTTTCATTGAGGATAGCATCAGGGAGAAAAAGGCCACTGGGACATTAAAATCCCGATGGGGAAACTTGAAGGAGCAAATTCCTTCCCAGCTTTAGATGTTTCTCGACTACAAGCAGAAATTCTAATCTAACTGAAAACTACGTGTAAAGCTCAGTGGGTTACTCAAAACATCAATCTGGGCAGTAGTTAATAAGATATTTCACTCTGGAAACTAAGTGAGATCTTGTTTTGGTCAAATATCTAAAAAAGAAATGTAAACCCAGGACCTTGTTTTCCTTTTATAGTTATTTTCTGCATACAATTTTGAAATGGCAAAATATTTTTGGCAAATGGCATTTTTGGAAAGAATTAGTTTGACGTGTACTTAGATTTTTTTAGTTTAGCCCATCTGCTAACATGGAGGCAGAGGCTTTATGACCTATACCGCAGTCAGCCACCAGGGAGCGTTTGAGATGTTTTGGCTGTCTAGCCTTTGATATGTCGATGGTTGTTGCATCTCCATCATATGCCAGATAATATAAATATTTAATGTAAAAGTCATGTTTCAAATTGCCAACGTACTGCGGATGTGGTTGTCGGCGCAGTACATCATATCAGCTGCATGGATAAACTGGTAGCCAGAGCCTTTCATACACAGTTCAATCTCTGAATAGCCCAGAATAACCTTCCCCCTGTAGAGAGAAAAGACAAAACATTAGGTTTCTGTTGCAAACCTGTTAAAAAAAGTCCATGCGCCAAAATAATAAAGAAGAAGAATGGAAGAATTTGTAGCACCTGCTATCGATGCCCATGGGTGTGAAGTCCAGCTTGTGCTTGCTTTGAAAGAGGAGCATTTTAGCTCTGATCTCCACAATGGCTGGAGGCTGGACAGGCATAGCAATGCTGAAAAGACCCAGCTGAAGTTTGTTACATGCCCCGTTGTCCCTCTGGCCATGGAGGTACTTCAGTCGCCCCTGGAACTTCAGAGCCTGGTTTTAAAAAATAAATAAATAAGATGAGTAACTTTAAAGGGCTTGGAAACAGTTTATCAAGGCACAATAGCTTGTTGTGTGTTAGTTTCACAATGACTCCAATGGAGATGATGTTCAGGTAATTAAGCCACATTACAATGTAATTTCACTAAAAATACTATTCTAACCAGAAAGCCAGAGGAGTTGTCCAGGAGGCAGCGGAAGCGACACACAAAGCTCCTCTCCAGGAAGGAAGAGTTCTCTGGGGGAAGCTGCTCAGGACTGTACATCACTGCATTACCACAAGCCTGCAGGGCTGAGAACGCAGGGAGAGATCAAACATTACACATCAGAACCATTTACCTGAACCACGAACCACTGATTTAAATTGAGTTTGAATAAAAGAATGCTTTACAGTCTCCTTACCATCTGTGCCGTCGGCAGCCGCTGGGGGGTTTAGAGCAAAGTGAAGCTGCTGTCTGAACATGGCCCTGTCGTCAGTATGGATGAGCTCAAACACACTCTGATGAACCACGTCCGACTGTGGGCAGAGGAGAGAACACGTCACTTAGACATGAGGTGTATACCAATTCAGGCTCCTCTGACAGTGACAGAGGCAATATATTCAGCCATTTTCTAACTGATGCATACGTCTACGGGACATGAGCTGGGTCACTGAATGGTTTGACATCCAAATGATATGAATTTATGTTAGACAGCCCTCTCCACCACCACTTCTGTTAACTAAAATTTGAACCAAATTTTGAGTAAATGGGCAAAAGAAAATGCACCACTCTCGTTAAGGAGTTGGTTCATGGAGATAAGCAGTAGGTGGCGCCAATTCTTCAGTCGGAAAACCAAAAGAAGAAGGCGCAAAACAGGATGGAAATATGAAATTTCTGTTTATTTCATGTATTAATGTGAGGAAGGTTTAATCAGATCTGTGTGCAGCAATCATTTATTTATTTGGAAAAAGTGCTTCTACCTCCCATCAAGTGCTCTCTTTTGGAAAAGGATAAAGGATAAACCCACCTCAAGATAGCATAAAACCTTTTTTGATCAAAAGCTGCATTCAAATATGCTGATGGAAATAGCTACTGACATAAATTCAGAAACCTTCAAGTGTCCAAAAGATGAGTGTTTGGCACTTAAAGAATATTGTATTTAACATGACTTTACTCACCTGATGAAAGCCCAGGTAGTCCTTGATTGTGGGAGAGACATAAAACACAGATCCCTCTGACGTGACCACTATCACAAACCCGTTCAGCGCCTGCAGAGGGGACAGACAGTCAGTAAAGAATACAGGTCAGGTATGTTACTAACACAAGACAAAGGAGGCATATGCGTATCAGCTTCACATGGCAATTGTAATGGACACAAAATCACACTGCACACCTGCTAAAGAGAGCAAACAGTGTAAATCTGGGAGTGGAACAGTGGGTGGTAAAAAGATTTCTATCTGCAACTTTTTTTACACAAAGTTGTAATGTTTGCTGCTACCAGAGTTTACAGTAAACAAGGACTCCTGGTGGCAAGGACAGCTCGGAATATGCTTCCACTAGCTGTGAGTCCCCACAGAAAAAACAGGTTTGGCTTGAAAGCAGCATTTTACTATTCAACTTTCATCAGTTTTTAACTGTCAAAAACAAGTACAGATTAAATCCTGTTCTGCTGAAATTTAAAAAGATTTCACTTTACATTGTGAATGTTACATTGCATGTTTGAAATCTTGTTTTAGCTTAAGCCATGCTTTCCGGGGGACACTGAATTGTAAATCCTGCTGCCTGTTTATAATCCAAAGCATCGTCAACAGCTGCTGTTTCTCAAAGGCCCTTTGTGTTGCCTAATCACCGCCTGTTGTGATCATTATAGAGAACAAAGTGTGAAAATGTCCCTGACAGGTGAGCATCAATAAACATGGTGCAGGGCACTTGATGAGCACAGGTTTTGTTAAGAGCCACAAAGCGTGGCCGAGCTTTGGCAAGAGGCACCAAGACAAGCAGCCTCACCTGTCATAACTTCCTCCTAAATGGATAGACCTGGATTAGCTCGACACAATATGACTAGCGCACAAATAAACACGGTCTGACAGTGCATCTGTCCTGCTAACATCAGGCTGTTCAGTTATCAATCAGTCCGTGGGACTTTTTCTTCAATGTGCAGAAGCAACATTCATTGAAAGTGTTTAAAAGGTGTATTTAAGCAACGGCTTTGATCTATTACTCTGGTAGTCGGCCTGTGCTCTGTGGAAGTTTGTGCTCTTTGTTTGCTGTGATCGTGCCATGCAAATGCAGCATAAATAACTCAATGTTATCGAGAGAAAAAAACCCAAAATGAAACTTACTTTCATTTTGTTTAATCTTATTTAGCAATTGTGTGTAATACTGTGTTCTGGAAGGGTGTACGGAACTCAAGTGGCAGACTGAAGTGCCTGTGAACACTGCCTTTTATATAAATAGATCAAATATGCATTTACAACAACCTGTCATACATGGTTCTCTTGTATGAAAGGATTACTGTTGTGTTGATTACTGTACTGTTTTTTTTTTACATATTTTTCACTGAAAAATGCAAAGGATCTTTGCTTCCGCTTGTTTACTAACTTTATATCTATATGAAAATATGATTTCCACATGAAGGAGTGAATTAAGAAGTCAACTAATTACCTAACTTTCAAACATAAAACACAGCTTAAGGCAAATCTTGAGTAATCTTACCGTCTGATCTCTGGCACTGCCTTTACACAATCTAATTGTTGTTATATATCTCTGTCACTTCTCTATTATATTGTGCTCTATTGTTCTGTAGTATGAATGAATGAATGAATAAATGAATGGATCAATAAAAATGTTACAGAAACATGACCCTTTACAAGCAGTGTGTCTGAATGGGTCTTCTTCCCCTCAAGGTTAACTTGTCTCGTACCTGGAGCAGCAGATCCCCCTCAGAGAAGCCTGCAACGTCCGTCTTGTCCCCGTTCTGCCGGTTCAGTCCGGGAAACATCAGACTGCTGTTGCTGTTCTTCATGGTCGCTGCACAGAAGTTGACAAAACAGAAGAGCAAGGTTAGCAAAGTTACGCTGTGCATCCCTCAGCTCAAATCCACTTGCCTGACTGACAACAAACATGATCAGGAATTAAACTGATGAGAGGATTAGGTGGGGGGCACCGGACCGCCCTGAAGGAAAATGTTTCATTTCTATATGTTGGTCGTCCTTTGCATTAGTTATATCTCTTTGACCGAGATACAGTTATTGCTGAGATCTGGGAATGCTCCATCAGCACTGGAACCGAGTCTCTTAAATCCTCAACACAATAGAGTTGTGTGACAGACCCACTGTACACAAATCCTCATAGACCTAATCGTTCTTCCCTAGAAGAGCCCCAAGGAGAGGGAGATATTTGAATGGAATAGCATTAGAACTGTCTCCTTTTTCAAGGTCCCTTTTCTTTCTAGACACTTGGAAAAAGGCCAGTTCACAAAGCTGCAGTCCAGTCCAGCATTCCTTACTGTAACAATAACGTTCTCTTGATAATATAATGGAAAATGCTACTGTTTATTATTGTAGTTGTGTTGAATCAGATGGTCAGCAGGTCACTACAGTTCATTTCTACAACACTGTTAAAAACTCCTGGTTCAAAGGGACTTCCTGTAATTTCAATACATTTTCAAGGAAAACACCTTTTACCTCCTCTACTGTTCATCTTAGGCTGTGTTCAGACTGCAGGCCGAAGTGACTCCGAGCTGATTTGTTCATGACAGTGTAAACAGCACACTGAATCTGATCTTTTCAGTTCTGATTTAGGCCATTTTAATGTGTGGTCCAAATCAGATCCAGATCTGAGCTATAAATCAGAATTGAGCGCTAAGGCCTGCAGTGTGAACGTAGCCTTATTACTCTTTTCTTAGACTTGCTTCTTTTCAAACATCACTGACTCTTACAAAGTAGAGAGCCACAATCAAGACAGACCGTACTAAGGAAGATATACAGTCATGTCTGAAATGTGGCTTTATTGCAATAGCACTGAATAAACAACATGTCTTGGCATTTTTTGAGTCATAAACAACTGCAGAAAAGTTACAGAGGTTCTATTTAATGTATAAAAGCACAAACCAAACACAATTTGTTAGTGGCAACGAATGACTGGTCTATGGGTTAAAAACTAACTGCCACTGTATATTCAGCATAGTGCAGGGAAACAGACAATGGGTCTCTTATATAGTTTACTTAGCAAAAAGTCACATGACAGTAACATCAAATCTTGCATCTTGCCTGAAGACATACGGTATGTCTCTTTTACACATCCCAGATGCACAGTGCAGTGTGTGTAGCTGTTCATTTGGAAGTTAAAAAGTCATATAAACTATTTAATGGCTGAGAACTTGATTTGTGACCTTTGCCTCAGCATGTTTAAGTTTTAGATGAGCACAACAGGTTTATTCTCTAAGGGCAATAACACTCACTGGATTGTGTTGTATATATAATTAGGCCACTTATAAGGCCTGTCCACCAATCACTGTACTTCGACTTGTCAAGTGATTCCCACCTTCATCCGTACCATATCAGAGGTCCTGTGACCTAAAGAACCAGAGGTAACAGGACACCACTGGCTCTCATTTGAGCTCTGAGAAAACAAAGCCAGTTTAGAGATTTCCAGCTAAGGGCATTTCACAAAAACTTGGCAACCTCTGTCTTGTGTTTTTCTATTCAGGGAGGTGTATGTGATACCATTGTTGCAAACTGATGAACAAACTTCCAGTGCAGGCAGAAGTTGCATCATTGTAATACATATTGGCATGTCTAAGTGGGATGACAGCCTGCACAAAGTACAATACCTGTTCGGTCCCACTGCTTGTTTTGGCTTTACCTTTGCGTCTCCTGCCAGTTGGCAAAGTCACTCAGTCCCGGCTGAAAGCCTTCTCGCTGTTCATCATTATACTCTGGGCAGCCCACCATGTCATGTCATGTTTAGATTGCCTCTCAAATTCAGAAGAGTTATGCTGTTGTTCTAATATGGGTTCACATGGGAATCATTTTGCATGTGTATTTTGAAACAGCTGCTGCAAGCTTTACGTCTGAATACGATGCAAACATATGCAAATAAAAGTATAAGTTAGCCGTAGCTAACACACAGCAAGAACAGCATTTTTACATGGCTGTGGCAGCACTTCCTGTTACATTCTGACAACTGGTTATCAGAAGCTTGATCAATTTAAGATCTATCCTGAATTCTTATGGCTAGCTATATTTTAAAATGTAAATCTGCACTGAATTATATACTTTATGGCATACTGTAACCTTTGTGTGTGATTGCTTTTGCTAAGCAGACCACATTTTTACATCCCTGCGGCTGCACTGTGGACCACACTCTTTTATGAATCTATAAATAATCTAAATGTTAGATCATGAGTGTGCAGCAACAGCAGAACAAAAAAGTGAAGCTAGCTATCTGGCTTGAGTCGAGCTGCAGTTGTTGGTCCCCTGCCAGAAGACAGGTTTTCTCATTGCTGGAGAACTGATCTGGCAGCCTGCATATCTGCACACACGTAACACATACACCGAAAAAATAACACACACAAACACACTCAGCCCTCTTGCATCTGCCCCTGGGGGGGTTTTGTAAGCAATAGCCGACAAGAGCGCTTCCCTTATCTGGACGGCCACTACAGGAAAATCCCAGGATATGGCCTCTCCCAACCCGTCCATGCAGTCCTGTCACGCAACCTCTTAAAGGAGGGAAGGGGCCCCTGAACACTCCTCCTGAAACCCAGACACACAGATCCTCCCCGCCCCTCAGCTACAACTCAGACAGTGTTTACACAAACACCCAGACCTGCACAGCCTGACAGTCACACGCCTGCACCACACAAAGCTCACACCTGACCTGACGCACAATGCAACCCGCGCAAACAGCCACTATTAGCATAAAAATGAGAGCTACATGTGCAGCCAGTGCAGGATATCAAAAACAAACCATCAGACAGACCAAAGTTAGAATAACTAACCCTAACCCATATTAAAAATAAACAGATGTGCACACATTCACACACAATTCATTCTTACTGCTTCAGCCAAACATAGCCCATGCCACTTTAAATCTGGATTATCCACCACATCCCTAATGTCGTTTTTTCTCCTCCTCAGTGTTTGCGTGAGTAAAAGGGCCTCTTTGTGGCTGTCTGTTTGTTTTCATACTACTATTCTCCCCTCATCTTTTTCCGCTGCTAACAGCGTAACAGCCTAACAGTTTACGGCACTGCAGAGTTGTTCATGTGCACTTAACAGTTGTTCATGGGGCTGCGGGAGAAATATGTTTAATGATACTTGGCCAGAGAGCTTGACCAGAGGTTGGAAAGACATTCCTGTAAGTTTGTGGGAGGCAGTGCAGGGAGAGAAACAGATTCCCACCAACATCAAACATGACGCACCGCCTTCACAGCAGGGCAGGAAAGGGGTGTTCACATGTGACCAAAATATTGTTGCACAATCCCTTTTTCAACAGTTTGATTGATGTCTTTGGATTGTATCTGTGTTGCAGATAGACACTAAAGCCACATTTCTTTGTTATAGCATGAGGACTGATTCACAGGTCAGCGTGGGATTTTACCAGCACTAACACTAGATAGATGATTGTAGTGCTAACTAGACAATGCATGTTCTGTAGAAAACACAGTGTGAATGCTTACAGCTAAAATAATTTGTACAGCATTGCTGAAATTGCAGTAATGAATAGCCTGAACAATCTCTTAACCCTGTCTGCATAAAACTGGAAACTTGCATGAAGCATTCACACAGAACAACTGGCTCTGGAAACATAGTAGAAAGCACAAATAAGCCCAGCTGACCAATTAGAGGCTTGCAGTTAGCTCTGATAAATAGTTGAATAGCTGCAGTCCACTGTGGTGAGAGCATAACATAGAGGTGTCCCTCAGTTCAGTACTAAGATTCTTTTGTCACTGACTGTGTCGTTCATTCACTTTTTCTCTTAGCTATGCAATTGCATCAGCAGTCAAACACACTTCAGAGAGTACATTAGAAAGTGAATGCACTGGGATTCTTTCCTCACTGCTACTGCCTGTCTTCCCTTCAGTACTATGTTCAGCCTCTTACTGATTCAACCTGATATGTTTAGTTCAGTACAAAGTTTGTAAGGTTATAGCTCAGAAACCACTTATTTTGAACATTAATCACATTAGAATTGTTTCTGTGGCTTCTGTGGCCTTTTAAGAAGCTTTTAATGAGGAAGTAACATACTCGTGGATCACAGCTGACAATGATCTCAGTCACCAGTGAGGGGATCTCCACTGCTAAAAGCTACTGATTCAGTCAATGACAACAGTGGTGATTCAGTACAGCTTGCTACTCTTCACATGCCAGCTTCATATGGGGTGTGAAACAAATGAGATTCATGCTACTGGAGAAGAGCTGCAGCTGCCCTGACCAAACCAGAAGCAGTTGCTAATGCAACTTTCCATGCAAACATTAACAATTGTGTGTGTTTGAAGGACAAGAATCAAAACCCTAGGTCCCCAGGTGTGGTGTCTGATGAGGACGCAATCCTGCGACACCCATGAACTCCTAGACAGTGGTAAGTTTTAAACATGTGATTACTGTAAAACCCAGATCAAAAGAAAGAATGGAACTCTGGCTAAAACAGCCCCAATAACATATAGCATATACTAAACATTGTTACGCTGCTCTAAAAGCTTCTTCCAAAACAATACTCTTGGAACCGAGGTGTAATTTGACACCAAGAAAGGCCACTTTTCAGCATCAAACTGTAGCTTCCTGTTTCAGAAAATAGGCCATTATAGGATTGGTGAACTGCAGAGCGTGCTTTTGAAGCAGGATTCACTCCAGGCAAACATCCCTGTCACTCAGGGAATGAGGCAGCATTTAAAGGATTTGGCGTCTTTTCATCATGGGGTTATTAAGTGAAACACAAAGAACTATGAGGGGCCGGACTTCTTGTACACGCAATCCAGCCTGACTCAGTTAAAGTAAAGACAAACAAGTTCAAATATAAAGTAG